TTAATCGCCGCTGCTTCACGGCGATGCTGACTTGGTAAGTGACTCCGATTGGACTATGCAGTAAAGCATTCAAAAGTGTTATCAGTTTTTTTGTTCAGTTTATTTATTTTGGTATAGCCCTGTGAGCCATTCGGCTCTTGAATCGGGTGCAACCACAACAAACAAAAAAATAAAAACACGATCAAAGTGTCCTGCTGTACATTTTAAACTGTAAACATATATAGATAACCGTTTATCAGTTATTGCGAGCCAACTAAATGTCTTAATATCCTCCGTGTGAATATAATTAACATGTTAAGAGTTTCCCATTTAATATATGCTTTTAGAATATAATACCTACATGCGCGTTCGTACACGGGTAGTTTACAGTTCTGGTTGAGGCGTGACTACACAGCGGTTTTTTCTTAATCCGACTGCCGTTGTCTTTCGATGATTATAAGACGCACTGACCCCCCCCAGCCGTGCGTCTTATACTCCAGGCAAAATGTTGTTTCGTGTCACTTCATTGGCAGCCATGCGCGACGTTCACGGGGGAGCGTGTCACTCTGCGGAGCGTCTTATCGGCAGAACGCGGCAGTGAGCGCAAATCGACGAATAACCACAAGTCGCACGATTATCTCGACGTAGGATTCTCTTGGGCCCGGGCTCAAATTGGCCTATACTGTATCGGAAATATGAAGACAGACGAATACGTACTTGCTGTTAGCGGGCACCTATTAAGGTCGGTACGGCGCGTGGCTAAAGGTTGTATGTTGAACAGCGCGCCCGGCCGTCTTTGTCTCTCCAGCGCTGATTTTAGTTTTTTTTTACGCGTCGCGGCAGGTGCTCACTTAAGGCTGAGTCGACCTAGGAGAAGCCCGGAACCGGTTCAGATGTTTGCCACTGGCGTTGGTGGCCATGAGCGGGAATCGAACTCGGGTGGTCGGGTCCATAGCGCTTGTGGCCACGCGCTCACGATGCACGTGTGAGTCGCATTGTAGTCACGCGTGCATTTTATAGCCGATGTGTGTCGTTTTCTGTATATTGTAAAGTTATATACACCCGGAATAGTTACATATATACACACCCATTAATGGTAGGCGTTAGCGCATTGAAACCAATAACACAGCGCCAAGTTCTTATGTTATCTCTATTTATTTCCCGCTGTAAATCTTAATAATATTAACATCACGGATTGAAATTATTTAACGTGTACAGAGAGCACTCGTGTAAGTAATAATTGGTGTGTAAACATGTTCAGTGCTGAGCCGACCTAGGGGGGATAGAAGGCCCAGAACCAGTTCAGATATCATTTGCATGTCCATTGGTGATAGCCGTGGTGGGGAATCTAACTTGAGTTGCTAGACTCGTTGCGTATTAGACTAACCACTGCACAACGTCTCCCCCTACGCACAAATACAAAAGATCCCCATATAGCCTTAACAGACTGTTGGGGCAAGTGCTGGTGGCCATACTCGTAGCTCAGTAGACTAACCACTGCACAAACGTCTCCCCCTACTCACAAATACAAAAGATTCCCAAATAGCATTACAAACTGTAGGGGCAAGTGCTGTTAGCGAGTAGCGACGCATTTCCATAAAGACAAAGCCCCCCACCACCTTATAGCTCATGTGGACAGCAGGGGCAAGTGCTGTTAGCGAGCACCTATGAAGGCCGGTACGGCGCACGAGGAGGTGGGTGGCCAGCAGCACCACGCCCGGCCGCCTTTGTCTCCCCAGTGGCGATGTTTACACACCGCAGCAGGTACTCATTTGATGCTGAGTCGACCTAGGGGAGGCCCAGGACCGGTTCACATAATCGTCACCTATGTCGGCCGTGAAGCGGGATTCGAACCCGGATAACCGGGTTCATTGCGCAGCGTGCTAACCGCTACACCACCGCTCCCCACGCTCACACACGTACACACCACACAAGTACATGTATGCACGTACACGCCATGCAGAGCAAGGGCGTTGGACCGTACCTCGACATTTTCGCTCAGGTGGCCCTCTCAGCAGGAGAGCGAGGAGGTGGCGAGAATGGTCGCGGGTTAAAATCCTGGATAAACTCAGCCCATCATCACTCCGGGGCGGCGGCGGAACGGTCGATAAAGTGAGTACCCACTTTGCGGGGAAAGTCAACCGTGCTTGTTCTGTGTATAGACTCTCGCCCGCCATAGCAATGTGGAATTGATACCAAGACGCTGGGGTTGTTTGCAATATATTGTCCTCATCCTTCCCCTTCCCTAATATCCGCTCGCGTTCGCGTCGCAGCTCCAGGCGTCGCCTCTGCGCTGATGGTGGCAGCGATGCCGCTAGGACATCGCAGCCACGCCAGCGGAATATTTTTGGGAGTCGACATGGTTCAGTTGCGGTCCCCTCTCTCCTTAACTTCATCGAGACGGCTGCGGCAGCTGCCGCTGCTGCGGCTGCGGACTCGTGGTTTAGAAGCCTCCGCTTGCAATCCCACTGTTCGATCACCCGGCGCGGCCGTCGAAAGCACGAGGGCGAGTGTGGAATCACCACCTCCACCACCCCGGCCTTCCCCGAGCCGTCTCTGTCCGGCCAGCAGCATACACGTGGGTACAGCGCAGCACTTTCGTCTGGCAGGACGCGTGTGGTGGGCCAAAGTGTGGGTATACTCCCGCCTCTTGCAAGACGTCTCTGGCTAGCATGGAGGGGGGGACAGCCAAACATGGGTGGGTGGCCAGCACCACGCCTGGCTGCCTTTGCCTCCTCCAGTAATGATGTTTACACACCGCACCAGGTACTTATTTAAGACTAAGTCGACCTAGGAGATGTTCAGGACCGGTTTAGAAAATTGTCAAAGGTGGTTGCCGTGAGCGGGAATCGAAGTCGGGTCGTCGGGTTCGTAGCGCAGCCCGATAACCGCTACACCACCGCTCCCAACAACAGCATACTCACTCACCCACCCGCTCGCTCATCCACTCACTCGCTCACCCACCCACTCACTCGCTGAACCGCTCGCTCACCCGCTCACTCACCCGCTCACTCACATACCCGCTCGCTCACCCGCTCACTCACCCACTCACTCGCTCACCCACTCACCCACCCGCTCGCTCACCCGCTCACTCACCCGCTCACTCACCCACCCACTCGCTCACCCGCTCACTCACCCACCCGCTCGCTCACCCGCTCACTCACCCGCTCACTCACCCACCCACTCGCTCACCCGCTCACTCACCCACCCACTCGCTCACCCGCTCACTCACCCGCTCACTCACCCGCTCACTCACCCACCCACTCGCTCACCCGCTCACTCACCAACTCACTCACCCACCCACTCGCTCACCAACTCACTCACCCACCCACTCGCTCACCCGCTCACTAACCCGCTCACTCACCCACCCACTCGCTCACCAACTCGCTCACCCACCCACCCACTCGCTCACCAACTCACTCACCCACCCACTCGCTCACCCACTCACTCGCTCACCAACTCACTCGCTCACCAACTCACTCGCTCACCAACTCACTCACCAACTCACTCACTCACCCACCCACTCACTCATCCACTCACTCGCTCACTAACTCACTCGCCGCACTGCAGGTCACATGACGTCTCATTCTGGTTCTTCCCTCGCACTGCTCTACTTTGAAATTCCACTTCTATGGCCACTTCTTCCCAAGTTCTGATAATCTTACGCAATTCAAGACACGTAATTTCTACGATTACCTATTCCAAAATGTATCGTGCTGTTTGTTCCTGACCGCCTGGCATGTTGGGGCCTTTGAATCTGCGTTCCACAGATTTGGAGATGGACACCTCCGATTAGCACGTTTGCCTGCGCATGGTGTAAAAGAAGTTCAACGCACCGTGCACAAAAGTTGACCTTACAGAGTAGAATGCTTACCGCTTGCCAATTTTTCTAAGTTCCAGTGGAAGATAATTTCAAAGTTTGCCAGTCATTATCAGGTCACAAATAAAAGAAAAAAACACTTTGAAGTTAATATTTCCAGACGCGTGTTCTCAAAGCAAATACGCGTCGGATATACCGTATTCTCCGGATTATAAGACGCTCCGGAAAGTCATACGCAGCCGGTCTACATAAAGTTCTACAAATCTGGTCAAGACGTGTCAAGAACCAGATGGGCAGGCTTATTCAGTAGGTAGGTGGACATATACATACATATGTAGGTGTGTGTATATAAAAAGGTAGGTAGGTGGCAGGTAGGTGCTGTGTGTATATGTGCATGCAGAGACAGGTTGAGATGTTTGCTACTCATGTTGTAGCTATAGCTAGATAGGCAGTTAGGTCGACAGTTAGGTAGGTGAATATATTGGGGGCGTATCGATAGCGAGGTAGGCAGATATAGAGGAAAGCGTGTAGCTAAGAAGTAGGTGTGAAGGAATGTAGCTAGCTAGGGAGTTAGGTAGGTGGGTAGGTATAACGAGGCGACAAACATTTGGGGCGATACGTTCTCTCAACAGAATCCGATACACGCAGAGACATCGAGCGGCCTCCGATCGCTCATAGTGTCCCAGTACCCGCCTCTCCCAAAACACGTGGCCTCTCCGTCCACACAAAGATCCCCCGTGTAGCCAACGCAGGCGCCTGGGGCAAGTGAGGGGGGTGGGATGGCCAGCACCACCGTCCGGCCGCCTTTGTCTCCCTCTTGTCGATGTTTTGCAAACAGGTGTGGAGCGGTGGCGCAGTGATTAGCGCACTGCGCCACGAACCGGTGGGGCCAGCCGACTTCGAATCTCGCTCGCGAACAATTTTTCAGTGACGATTATCCGAACGGGTCTTGGGCCTCCCCAAGGTCGACTCAGCCTTAAATAGTCATACACACGCACAGCCACACACACACACGTGCACACAGCACCACGAACGCTCAGCGCATGCGCGAGTGTTTGCGAAGTCCTTTATTGCTACAAGGGGGGGGGTGGGTAGGAGGTGCCTGTGAGAGTCACAAACACGTTATAGCTCGTCCCCCCACCCCCCAGTTCCCTCCCGCCCCCCCTATCCCCCGTCCTCTCCCTCCACGCACAGACACGCGCGCGCACAGACACACAGAGAGAGACACACACGGACACTGACACACAGAGACACACACGGACACACAGAGACGTGGGCTGAGAGAACGTCGCGTACCGCAGATGCTCGCGTAGAGAGGCCGGGCGCGCTCACAGGCGGACGGGGGAGGTAAGCCTCGCGGCGGTCGCGACAGCACCACTCACGTTCGCGACATCACACTGTTACGCACGGTCGCGACTGCTTGCATGCCTATGATGTCGGCCACGACGGCCAGAATCTCGGAAGCCAAGCGGGCTCGAGCCTGGTTAGCGCTTGGATGGGAGACCGCCTGGGGATGGATGGCAGGCACTCCGCGCTGCGTGGTGGCCAGCGAATGACAGCACAGTACGGTGTAACAAAGGATTCTTGCATCTATCTGTGCGGAGTGAGCTACCCTTCTGGTGCGCGCGGTGACATCTCTCATCGCACTCCTCGCGCGCGCCTCCGATTGGCGCGTTCGGCCCCATGCTGGTGCGAAAGAAGTGGAACGTGCGCATACGTGTCACGAGCACTCGTTAATAGCAGCGGCCAAACGTCGCAACGCATGGAGCATCCTGAACAGGAGTCTTGAGACTCAGCGAGGCTTTGTTTGTTATTATTCTTACTTCGCGTGCTTGCATTCACTCATTGGTGTCCACTATATTGATCAATATACGATGTCTCTCAGCGACACACGAAGGCAAACATCTTCCGTATAAGCTTAATAGACTGTTGGGGCAAGTGTCGTTAGCGAGTAGCGCCTATGAAGGCCGATACGGCACACGAAGAGGTGGGTGGTCAGCACCACGCCCGGCCGCCTTTGTCTCCCTGGCGGCGGTGTTTACACACCGCACCGAGGTACTGATTTGAGGCCGAGCCGACCTGGGGGACGCCCAGTACCGGTTTAGATCATCATCGATGTTGAGCGAGAATCTTACTCGGGTGACGCACAGCCACGTACGCACAGACTCGCATAGATACACAAAGACACGCGCGCAGATAAACACACACATGCACAAGCACTTAGAGACGAACTCGCACAGAAGTCATAGCCTGACTTAGACTGTTGGCTCCAAGCGGTGTTAGCAAGCGCCTATTGCAGTCGGGCCGGCGAACGAGGTCGTGGTGTAACCCAGCAGCAACCACTCGCGACCGCCTTTGTCTCCCCATCGCTGATGTGTACACACCGCACCGGGTATTCATTTAAGACTAAGTCGACATAGGAGAGGCCCAGGACCTAGGGGAGGAGGAGGCTCATCGCCGCTTCGGGTAATAGTCAACGAGACGTTGTCCGTGAACGGGAATCGAACACGGGTGGCAGCGTTTGTAGCGCAGCGATCGAGAGAGACGGGACGGGACCTTGGCACGCCGACCCTGGTGGCTTGCTTAAACCATACTTCGCCACGACCGTGCGTCAAATATTCGTTATTCACCGATGCAAACCGATTCTCTGCGATACGTGTCCACAGTTAATCTTCGCGGCGGACAGTTTTGCTTTACGCATTTCTGCATTTCGTATCGTGAATTTGCGTATGCTGTACGTTGTGATATGTTTAATTAGATTCGGCGATTATTTTTTGTATACGTGTGTGTGTTTAACTCCAAGAAATAAACAATCCTCCATCGATTACGGCAGCTCGCATGAAGTCGCTTCTGTGCGCGGCTACAGTGTTTGCCGATCCTTAGCACCCGCGGTACGGTCTATAGTTGTGGCACGCGTTGAGCGGTACGATGTCTTTCCATCCACGTTCTGGGAGCCACCGATCCTTCTAAAGTCGCCGCTCGCGGGGCCTCCGGCAGGTGCCCATACCCCGGCTCACCAGGAGAAGGCAGTGCAGCAAGTGGATCCGATCGCCATCTGTTTGCATCTGTACGGGGATGGGGGGGGGGGTAGAAGGCTGCTACCTCGCGCAAGGTGTGGGTTTTTTCTCCGGGAACTCTGGAATGCTCCCACTTTGTAGCACGAACGCTCATCAATGCTTGGAGGAAATATCCAGCCAGAACATGGCTGGGAACGTCCAGCCAAATTATTGCAGTGTTAATCAGGGCGGCCGCTGGACTCGAACCGTGAAACTCTGCAGCAACAAGTGGTGAACGCGCTACCGCTGGGCCGCGTCACTGCCCAGTGACTCGCGCACTCCGCTACGAACCTGGCCACCTAAAGTTCGATTTGCCTGCCATATAGTTGGGGAGTCGTTGTGGTATTCAGTGGTCACTAAGTGTAACATCGCAACGATCTCAATATTGGGTTGCAGAACGTTTCATCACGCTGAGGTTTCTCCCCAACATAGCCGCAGATTCAGCTGGGTACATGACCCATTCATGGGAAGGAGGAATTTGTCGTGGTTTGATTCCATAATAAACACACTCAATGCTTGGAGGAAACACCTAATAATAATAATACGTTACTCTATAATAAATACAAATATGGCATGAATAATGGCCCCATTCTAGAATGTCAGTTATTATATTTGTTTAATTTAAGGCCGCAGTGTTACTGACAAACGTGTTGAGTGGTATTGTTAATTGTGCACCACTGCCAACGCAGCAGTGGCATCACAAATTAGTCCGTTAACAAAATCGATTCAAATGAAAACGCGTTAGTGGCTGCAGGGGCCTTACACGCGAACTTGATTTTACGAAATATAACGGCATGCGTTGTATATTTTACATTAATTCTCACGAGCGATTCGTTTCTCAGGAATCTTAAGAATCGCTTTTTTACCGCTGCCGTATTCTTACAATTACAAGACGCCTCCGATTTGCACGGCCGGTTACTTACGGTGCGAAAGAAGTTCAACTAAAATGACACAAATCTTGTCACAGACGCACGCATGCACACACAAGCCTCCCAAATTATAATACGCGCCCCCAAATTTTGCTTATTTTAAAATACAGGAGGGGGAGAGGGTGTGTCTTATATTCGGGAGCATACGATAATTGACGAGTCGACGCATAGTTTCATAATTAAAGTACTAACTAAGCACCCACTTTCAATTCATGGACACTTACAAACAGTTACTGTTCCCGTGAACGACATGCATTTATTCGTTCACCCGTGTTGAGGACTCGGTCTGCCACACGCTCACCGTTTCGTCTCACTGTGTTCAACCACCACGCACAATGTGGGCCACAACAACTCACCCTGTCACTCACCCTATCACTCACTCACCCTCTCACTTACCCACTCACCACACTGTGGGTCGCAGCAACTCACCCTGTCGCTCACTCACCCTCTCACTCACCCACTCACCACACCGCGGGTCCCAGCAACTCACCCTGTCACTCACTCACCCTCTTACCCTCTCACTCACCCACTCACCACACTCTGGGTCCTAGCAACTCACCCAGTCACTCATTCACCCTCTTACCCTCTCACTTACCCACTCACCACACTGTGGGTCGCAGCAACTCACCCTGTCGCTCACTCACCCTTTCACTCACCTTCTCACTCACCCACTCACCACACTGTGGGTCGCAGAAACTCACCCTGTCGCTCACCCTTTCACTCACCCTCTCACTCACCCACTCACCACACTGCGGGTCCCAGCAACTCACCCTGTCGCTCACTCACCCTCTCACTCACCCACTCACCACACTGCGGGTCCCAGCAACTCACCCAGTCGCTCACTCACCCTCTCACTCACCACACTGCTTCTTGCCTCGGCCACTCATCTCGAGTTGAAATTTCCCACCCACCTCGTCTGTCACCCTCCTCACCAGCCTCCCCAATTCCTTAGATACCGTTGCTTAATTCGAGAAAGCGTTACACATCTCTGTTCACAACGTAAACGGTGCTGTTGGCTGCTGGCCGCTTGGCATTTCGGAGCTGTGCTCAGCAAATTGCGATTAAGCGTAGAAAAACACTAATCAATGCACCGCATGTTTAGCCGTCACGAGAGTAGCCCCACGTGTGCTTGCTAGACACACACACGCGGCGTGGTGTATATTATTATGCCCACGTTTATCTCGAGTGCCGTCTTATCGCTCGCAAAGTTATCATTTTCATAATTGACTCACGTTTCTGAAAAGCGGCAATAGATGGTGATAGTGAAATCTGGCCGGTTGAAGCGGGGGGGGGGGGCGGTGATAGTGGGGGGGGGGTATACATTCTGTAAAACACCGTCTCCAGTGATACAGATAATCTGTATACACACACACTACACACAGATACGACACCGTTTAGCCTTACGGGATCGGAGGAGAGGGCGCACGCCCAGCGTGATGGAGAGACCGTCTAGGGTTCTAGGCGCTGCGCGCGAGGTGGTTGGTTGGTGGTTGCTGGCCGAGTCGCTCACAGCACTTGCCCCAGCAGCGTCTCAAATGGCTATGCGGGGGGTCTTAGTCTTTGTGCGGTGGTCGTAATTACCCCCCCGAAAAAACTCATCACATTCGTCGATAACACTCGCCGAATATGAGATGTGCGTGTGTATATATATTTATATTTAATAATAGGCGACGTTTTAAGCAAGGGCCCTTCTTCGTGGCACGCGTTTAACAGGTGTTACATGAACATCGGGCCAGTGCCCTCAAATCATTTACAAATTACATGTGTTATGAATGAATGGCAACTGCCCGAAACGTCGCCTGTTGGGTGTTTATTTTCCCTTTCGGGCACTGTTATTGACTCTCGTGTTGAGAGTTGGGGGTTGTTTTTTTTTGTATGTGTGCTTATGCGCCACTGCCAACACAGTATCGCAAACAAAATGCGTTTAATGATCTACAGCTCTTTGTCAATCCACTGCTGGATGATAAGCCTCGCCACGCCACGTCGCTGAAGGCGCATGCTACACGTGGAACACATAAAGAGGGTCACCAGGGTGGTTATGTTAATATACACACTCTCTGTATCAAAGACAAAGATCACCGGTATAGCCTTAACAGACTGTTGGGGCAAGTGCTGTTAGCGAGCAGCACCAATGAAGGCCGGCGCGGCACACGAGGAGGGGGGGGGGCAGCACCATGCTTGGGCCCCCTTTGTCTCCCTCGTGGCGATGTTTACAGACCACACCAGGTACCGGTTTTAAGGCTGAATAGACCTAGGGGAGGTCCACAACTGGTGCAGATAATCGTCACCGATGTTGGCCATGAGCGGGAATCGAACTCGGTCGCTAGGTTCGTAGCACAGTGCGCTAACCACTGCACCACCG